TTTTTCTTTATTATTTTTGGTTTCTTTAGTTTTTGTTATTAGAAATAACATTTTCTTTTCTTTTATTTTTGATTTTACTGATTTTGGTTTTGTTTGTTTACTAATAAATAAACTAGTACCTTGAATAATAACTATGAAAAACTTTCTGCTATCTAAAAATTTGCAAATTAATAAAGAACTGCTTGTAACAATTAGTGCCTTCTGGCGGAAACAAATTGTTAAAATATTGGATAATTGAATGAATACTTTTTCAGCTCATATTCTTATAACTCGAAAATATGATCGTCTACATACCTGGAACTTAAATATTATACCCAAAATATATACGAATATCTCTTGTCACCTCTGTTATCCTCCTAAAGCTACAACAGATCTTAGTGATTATATTCTATTTGAAAACTTTTGGACCTAGTTTTCTGTTGAATATCCTGCTATATACTACACATTATATACTCAGAACTACTTCCAAGCTCTCACTAATAACCTAAACTCTTCAAATACGTGAACTCTTATCATATATCTCCTTCTAAATATCTATTACTTCAAGGAATCTAAGTCTTATAATCAAGCCTGACAGGAAATATACACTGTTCTTACTCTAACAAACGGTTTTAATAACGACCCTTTTGATGTAGCTTATAACATAAGTGAAACTGCTAATTCTCAAACAGCTGAATATCAAACTGCACAATCAAATTCATCTGACAAAGAAGAAAATTTTGGTCTAGAATTATTCTTTAATCAACCAGAACTACAACAATTACCCTCTAATCAACCACAACAAGTAAACATGACTCAATCTAATTAACAAAACTTTCAGAAACTTACTGATACTCTTATCTAATTAATTGCTACTCTGCCTAATACTACTACTGCTTTGACTAACAACACTAATGCTATCAATAATCCTTCTAGAAGAGAGGCTCGAGTGATTAATTTACCCTACTTTTATAGTAGAAATCAGGACCCTATAACTTAGCTCAATGAATTTAACAAAGCTTGTAATACTAATGGAATTACTAATAACAACAAGCTCCAAGTTACACCTGCATATCTGAAAGGAGCTGCTACTACTTGGTGGACTAAAAACCAAATTTTGGTCAATACTAGCCCTAATAGGATCAGACAATAGAATAATAATAACCCTGCTCACAATACTAACTTCATCATTAACTTCCCTGCTGCCTTTCATTCTCAAACCCTAGTTGAAATTTGGACTACTAAACTTGAACATCGTCAACAACACCCTGGTGAATCTGTTGATGACTATGCTGCTACTCTCTTAGAATTATATAGGAGAGTAGAGCATGGACCTTTCTAAGTTCATCAGTAATTTTTTTGTAGTTTTTTACAGAGATTGTAGTAGGAGAAATATCTATTGCTTCAGGGTTTTCCAAAGTAGTATGAGTTAGAGTATAGTGATGAGAGGTAAAGCTTATATGGTATTGACCACAAAAACATGAAGCAATAATAGATTGAAGAAGGACAAGGAAGTAGTAGAGTTTTTTAATATTTCTATCGCAATGAGTAGGTTTGATGTTTTGTGCTAAAATACAGAGAGAAGATATTTTACTTTCATTTATTACTACTCCAAAGTGATTCCTATATTTGGAGTAGTAGTAGTCAATATTGTAGGAGTCAGGTTCTTGACTAATTAGAGTAGATATATTTAAAACTTGAAAGGATGAGGTCAGAAAAAGTGGTATTTTTTGTTTCATGTAATGTGTGTAATATGATATAATACAAAGTGTGGATAGTGTAGCTAGTGTGGCTTAGTAGCTGATGTAGCTAGTGTGGCAGATATGGTACAGAGTACAAGTATATAACACTAGAATAAAAATAGATTAGATTTGTACTATATGCAGTATAAATTAAAAAGAAAATAAAAAAGTAAATAGTTAATTTGTGCTAAATTAGTTTGAGATTTAAAAGAAAAATATAATTTTTGGGTGAACTAATGATTTTTCCTGAGCTGTTATGTGACCTAGACCCAGGATTTGGAGGGAGTAAAGAGGAAAAGAACAAAGTAAGGTAAATTTTAAGAAAAAAGCTCCAAAGCAGTTTTTTGAGGATAGAATGCTAGGTTTTGGTCCATTTTAAGTGAAATTTATATCAAAATAAAGCCTGAGTTAAGCTGAACACAACTATTTTAATGAATAAGCACTAATAATTTAATAGAAATTGAGAAATTTTCAGAAGACTAGTTTAATAGTTTAAGTAAAATATCTCAATGAGTTTGAGTCTGAGAGATATAAAATTAGACTATTTTAAAGCAAAATCTTGTGTAGAACAATTTTGTTTAGAAGTTAAAGGTTATTTACTTAATAAAGTTTTTAATTATAAAAAAATGTTTTTGAGAAGTTTTGGTACAAGTGATCTATGGGAAGAGTTAATGATTTGTATCTTATTTTTTTAGTTATTATAGTATTATAAAATTATAATATATAGTATTATAATATTTAAGTTTTATAATAAAAAATCTTATAGAATAATTAATTTTCATATAATTAAATAATATAATACTATAATTTATTAATTTTATTATTAATTATAACTATAGTTTTATTAATTATAAAATAAAAGTCTTGCTATTTTTATTTCTTGCTTATTTTAAAATATATAAAAATATTTTAGAAGAGATATTATTACTAAATAAACCTCTTTTTTAATATTAATTAAAGTTATTTATTAGATTTTTCTTATTCTAAAATAGTAAAATTATTAAAATTAGATTAGTAATTTTTTTTAAAAATAAATTAAAGATTATAAAATTTAGATATAAATATTTTAATAACTACTAGTTTAATATTAATAATTTTACTGTTATTAGAACTAGAAAAATCTAATAAATAACTTTAATTAATACTAAAAAGAGGTTTATTTAATAATAATATCTTTTTTAAAGTATTTTTAAATTTTTTAAAAATAGTTCTAGCAAAAGTAAAAAGTAAAAATAGTAATACTTTAAAATAATTTTATACTATATTTTTAGTAATTATTATATTAGTTATATTTTTTATAAACAATACTAAGTTTTTAATTAATTATAATTTTTATTAAAAATATATAATTATATAGTATATATATAATATTTTCATACTAAATAGCTAAAAAATATAATACTAAATAATTCTATATTTAATACAAAAATACTATATATATTAATATATAAATGATATAGTATTTGAAAAAATATTAAATTCAGGATCTGGTGATCTTAGTGTAGTGGTTAGGTTGCTAGACTACTATACAAGAGGTCTGGAATTCAAATCCTACTATCGATAAATTTGAATAATTACTCAGACTTTTGTACCTAACTTACAGTAAACTCTGCTTATTTCTAAAGGTTACAATCCTGTAAATTATATTGCATCAATGTCAATTAAACATTAGAAGTATGATGCAATATTTGAGTTATATTGCATAAATAAATCTTAATAGGATCTATAGGCAGGGACCTGTATAGTAGAAATCCCAAGTTTGATAAAGTAGTATGAATTTCAATAGTTAAGCTAATTAATGTCTGATCTTGTAAAAAATCTGAGTATGAAGGATATGAGATTAATAGGTATTGTTATCTAGTGAAGTCACGTGGAACAAGACCTCAGTAATTTCAAATTAAGACTTTCTAGACTGTACTAGCTGAACTAGCTATATTAGCAACTTCGGCCACTTCAGCTAAAAAGGTAGTGGAGACATATCTGACCTGGAGGGCTAGATGGAGGTTATAGACAGTAAGAGGGAAAAGGGCAATGAAGTCAGTATAGTGATTAAGGGCAGAATAGCCCAACGAATGTAAATAAAGAATTTCATTATAAATAAAGGCCGTAAAGGCTCTAAAAGAGAGATATCTCCTAATTTTGCTTTATTAAATATATAATCAGACCCTTATATTATATAACAATCTAAATAATACATAAATAAATAACTCATAATAAATCTTGCTAAATTACCCTAACCAATCTCTTGCTTATATCCCTTCTCATTAAATTATGCTCATGTGACACTCATTAGTTTTGATACTTTGTCTAGTTGTTAACCTAACGTACCTAGTACAACTGTAGTTTATAAGTCTAGCTTACCTAAAGTAGTGTGATATAGCTGAGGTTAAAGAAAGACTAGAAATTGCCAGATAATAGAAAGACCTACTTATGGACAACTAACTAACTCGCCAAATCTAACATGCCTCTTTTCAGTAAAGCCTACTATAGGTTATACAAGTATTTAGAATATCAAGTGACTAACTTGCTGCTAAACCTAGCTTTATTTGGTTATAACTGTGAGATCAAATATCTCAAAATGTCATAAAACCTCTCCCTTCAATGTGAAAAAGACAAGAATAGATAATAGTATAAACAAAGAACATTAGAACAGAAAACTTTGCTTTTAGAATAGCCACTTAAAGGTTAGACTAGAAGAAAGAAAATATAAAGAAAAGATTAGGAAGATTTATAATAGAAAAGAGGAAGAAAAATTGGAATAAGAACACACTCAAAAGATAAATAATGTAGAAAATATATTTACCTAGAATAGTAAAACTCTAACTCTTGAAATGAATAAAGAGCAATTAAAAGAACTACTTGAAGGCCTGACTGATTCTTTCGCCTAAGTTGCAAATACAATTACTAATGCAAAGAAAAACCTAGGAGAAAGAAGAGAATTGAGCCACGTGAAGACCGATCCTTTCTATAGCTACAACAATGAAGACCCGATAGAATAGTTGGAAGCATTCGAAAGCACCGCTATAGCAAATAACTGGTTCAAAGAAAGAATGCTAAAAATAGCGTCTAGTTACCTTAAAGACTTGGCCACTGATTGGCATAAAAGAAACAAGAAAGATTAGATAATTAGAAGATGAAGAAAACAAACCAAAAAGCTTCTACTATGCCTTTATTGAGTTCTTCACCACTCTGGAAAACGTCACATGTAGCAGAAAGAACTGAATAGCCTCTAACAGAAGAAAGATAAAAAAGTCGATATATACGCTGCAAAATTCAAAAGATTATTAGGACAAGTAGACTCTGAAGATAGCTTACTCGATGAATTCATAATAAGGATATTCCTGAGTGGACTAAGAGGAAAGACCGTGACTTTTGTCGCAGTATTGGAACCTGAAGACTTGGACAAAGCTATTGTTAGTGCTAGAAGAGTAGAAGTGGGAGAGTATTATAGTAGGCAAACCCCTGAAAAAACTCAACAAAAGAAATTAGAGGAAGAATTAGATAACCTATTCTAGAAAATAGAACAGATAGCCCTAAACTTTACTGCTGTAAATTCCAATTGAGTAAAAGAACTCTACAACTATGAAAAATATGCAATAACTTTCGAGAAGATAACAATTGAAAAAATATCTAAGAAGAAACCTTCTAAAGAGGAACCACAAGAGAACTAAGGAAAGAAATAACTTGCTACAACTGCGGTGAAATAGGTCATATCGCCCGATATTGCTTGTCTGAAAAAATACCTAGAAGAAACGAAAAAATTAAAAGAGTTAGTAATTATATAAGAAAAGATAACTAAGATAGTGACGACGACCTATAGGTAGAACCAGATGAGGTCTATGTACTAAATGAGCAGCAAAGATACCACTCTTATGAGGGAAGCAGTAACAGAAAGAAACCCCAAGAACAACTAGAATCAAAGTGAGAAAACAGATTAAGAAATAAAAATATACTACCTGAACCCCAGTTAATCCTACTTGAGGAGGATCAAGAAGTAATGGACAAGGATATGTTCGTCCCAGAAAAATGACTAAGGAGAAAAAGAGAGCTATCGGTTATAGACAAACTTATCCTATACAATATCGCTGAAGATATTTTAAACTCCTCGGCTAATATAACCATAGGACAGATGCTCTAATACTCCAACTAAAGATAAAACTTAGCTAAAATTCTAAGAAGACTACTACCTCCAGTACAAGAAGCTAGCTATATAACATTTGAGGAACCAAAGTGCACCATAGCTACTAGGTGCTACATCAAGATCAAAAGAAACTTCGTTGTAGCTGTATTAGACTCTGGTGCAGCTATTAGCATCATGACAAAGAAATTAGTAGATAAACTAAGATTAAAAATCCTGGAAAAGTTATCTACTGTAGTAGTCATAGCCATAGAAGCAAAAACAAGAGTACTAGAAAAGATAAAAGACCTTAAAATCACTATTCAGAATATGATAATACCTAGTATAGTTCAGGTTATAGAATCGTCAGACGAGATTTTGCTGTTGAGAACAGATTGGTTCTAAAAAGCAAAAGTAAGAATCTATTTCGACGAACAAAGATTAATTCTCAAATACTAAGGTCGAACAATCGAAGTACTAATTTCACATACTGGCAAAGATTTCCTAAAACAAGACAAGAAAGATGAGAAGTAGGATATTGAAAGTGGAGACACATTTGATGTGTTTACTTATAAAAATGAAAATCTGAATGAAGCAGAAGAATACTATACTCTAGAATCATCAGAGGAAGAACCAGACATTTATGAAAACTATAGAAAGATAAGATTAGTCCAGCAATATACTTAACCATAATAGAGTAACTCCTTACAAAAGAAAAAGAAAAAGAAATACTCACTGAAAAAGAAAAACTAGAAAGATTAATTCAAAGTGAAACCCTAAATGAAAAAGAAAAAGAGAAAGCTCAGGAGTTCTTTCAAAATAAGATTGAGCTCTTTAATGATCAAGATAGTCTAGGCCAAACTGACCTGACTACTCACTATATTGACACCGCTGGGACCAAACCTATAAGGCAATACTTCTACAGAAAATCTCTGGATAAACAAGAATTCATCAATAAAGAATTAGTAAATATGGAAAAGCAAGGCCTAATACAAAAATCTGAAAGCCCATAGGCCTCACCAGTAGTAATCATCCCAAAGAAAGGTAGTAAACTCTATATATGCATCGACTACTGCAAGTTAAATGCAGTTACTAAAAATGATGCATATCTACTACTAAGAATCGATGATCTATTAGAAAAATTTAAGTAAGCAAAGTAGTTTTCTAGCATAGACCTAAGAAGTGGTTATTGGCAGATTAGGATGAATAAAATTGATCAAGAGAAGACTGTGTTTGTTACCAGAAGTGAGTTATACAAATTCTGAATAATGCCATTTGGGCTTTGCAACATCCTAGCTATCTTTTAGTGGTTGATAGACATAGTAATAGCAGAATACATAGGCAAGTTTGTGGAGGTATATATTGATGATATCAATATATACTCCTAAACTTTCCATGAACATCTAGAATATTTGGATAAAGTATTTAGTAAACTAAAAGAAGCAAACTTAAGGATTAACATTAAAAAGTATATCTTCTTTAAGCCTGAAATCCAATTTCTTGGTCATGTGGTTAGTCACTACAGTATCCGTTCTGATGACTCTAAGGTAGAGAAGGTAAAAGATTACTCAATTTCAAGAACAGTTAGGCAATTAAATACTTTTATAGGATTAGCCTCTTATTATCACCACTTCATAAGAAATTTTGCCACAATAGCCTGACTACTACATGATTTGTTAAAGAAAGATATTAGTTATAAATGGGAAAGTGACCAACAAATATTCTTTGATAAGTTAAAAGAATACTTAACTTCAGCTCCAGTTCTCCAATACTCAGATTTCA